GTGGAATTTTTATAGTTTATTTGTGGTTGGAAAACAGCATCAAATATTTGCAGGAACTTGTCTCTTTTTTCAGAAAGAGTTGTGGCTAATTAGAATTTGTTTTGTTTTGCTCCCTGACCTCTCAGTTGGCTTGTAAGCTATTAAGCGATGCACAAGCAATTTGTTTGGGGTATAGGAGTTGTTTTGCATCTACTTTGCATAAAAGGATCAAAGATGGTATCAAAATATCTTAAAGTTATTAGGCAATTTAAGACAGTATCATTGTTTTCTTTAGCGGCCAATGACTGTGTAAAACAAAGCTCTTGCTTCCTATTTAGCATTTCAGGATACATTAGTGATGCATTATTAATGTAGTAGAAAGTTGTTATTTTTAGACAAAAGAAAACTATTTGGTAAAATTAGGAAAGAAAGAGGGCATTCATGCAGTCACAACTTAGTAAAAATATATGTGGAACTAATATGTACATACTTGGCCTAATTTGAAGATATGACTGATTCTATATTTGATGGTTTCCACCTGAAATGTACACAATACTCAGTCAATATATATTTTTGAAAAACGTCTTACTTACACTACCATTTTCAAGTAACATTTGTGAGAGAAAATACAAGTTATTTGAGTCTTTGAACAAAAAGATAAGTGTAACAAGTAGTCATAATTTGATTAAGACCCCAATTTCAATTAGATTCCAGCAAATGTTTAAATGGAATGTCTCCTTGATTATCTATACAATGATACAAAGAACCCAATAATTAGAAAAAAAAAAAACTTGTAGCTAATTGGAATGTTTTAGCATATAAATCACATTAAATATTGTGTTACAGTATAATTCTTATGGGTGTTAGCAAGGTCCTAGAATCCCCAAAGGCTCTAAATTGGGCTGCCAAGATACAAAGATAGGAGAGATAAACTTCTGTGCCATTAAAACATGTAGAAAATGAGTTCTGTGATAATACAGTAGTAATTTTGGGTCTATTCTATTATCAAAATCCATCATAATTCACATTTTGACTTATCAGCCAGTTTGAAGTGCAACTTAGAAGGAAGGAAGGTGAATCAGAAGTGAAAATTGACTCAGGAATTCTGCCTTGCATGGATGAAAATCTAGGGTTGGTGTTGGGATACTTTTTGTGAACCCTACCAAAATAAATACTGAATATAATTTGATGTCTAAGCTTGTCCCAGAAATTAGACAGAATTGTGGTTAGTTTTCATTAACAGTAAATCTATAGGGATTGGATGGATCATATTTTTCCTTGACTGAAGGGGGAGAAAAATGGATAGCCAATACTAGGAAGAGGTACAAGCCATCAAGAAATTGTGGGCATCTCCTATGGTTGGAGAATGAAGGAAGCATGCATGAAAGCATGGTCCTACCACTTCGGAGTCAAATGATCCTGCTGAGATCACCTTGTCCTGTAGCCTCCTTCCTGTGGCAGGGCAGTGCTACAGTTCTGCAGCGGGCCATTAGAGTAAACAGTGGCCTAATGGGTGGGGCTCTGGGAACTCAACGCTTTCTGCAACCAGAGAGGCCCATCTGCTTAACATATTTGGGTCCTACATGACGTTTTGTGTGAAGGACTCTGCTGTATGGAATAACAATGTTTAAAGTCATTGTAGTTGGGACCTTCACTCCCCTCCAACCTCTCTTCCAGTAGCATTATTGAAGAATGGAAATAAAGACCCACCAAGCTACACATTGGCACGTTTCAAGGGTCTCTTTTATCTGCATTATCAGGTTTGGCAAGCAAGCTAGGTTCATCTACTCTGTGAGCATCTTCACAAATCCAACATGCCAGGTTTAGGTTTCTAAAGAGGTGTTGGGGAAGAATTCATGAGTCCTAGCTCGGGGTTCTTAAGGAGTGGGTACCTTTCTCCCCTCTAGCATTCCAGGCATCATCATGTCTGGAATGATGGATGCTCATGAGCTAGTCTCATGCATACATGCATTTTTCAACAAATATTTACAGAACAGATACTAAATATCAGCTAAAGTGCTTAATCAACATTCCAGAATGGCTAGAATAAGCCACCTGGCAACCTGAAAGTGGACACTGGTTTCTTGGAGTGAAATGTTTTGATAATAGTTTGCACATAACAACTTTTTAATTTGCTCAGCATGTATTCCAAATAGAATAATCAAGAAATGACAGCCTCCCTTTTCCACCCACGTTACAGAACTAGATTTGGACATCTGAATAATAAGAAAAATTAACTATTTGCAATTTTATTTTAAAGTATACTTATTGAATTCCAAAAATGTGGGTGAGTGGGGTGGGAATAATTGCAGGATAGACAAAGGCTCTTATTGAGGGCTTGGGCTTTAAGGAAGCACAGAAAAAGTAAATCTGCTACTCGGAACTCCTGTCCTTTGCCTGACAGAGAGCAGGGATGTCTGCAGAGGGAGCTGCAGAGGGAGCTGTGTCTAAAACCAGTGCAGGTGGCTCTGGGGTTCACAGTGAAAAAATGACCATGGACTGCATTCTCTAGAACACTTCTAGCGTTTTCCAGCATTCTGTGACTTGTATCCTCATGGTCAAGATCCCAAGGTGGAGCTAAGGCTCTGCAGCCCCTGCATTAGGGTTCTCTAGAGGGACAGAACTGATGGAATATATGTATATATACATACATGGGAGTGTTTAAGTATTATTAATTCACATGATCACCAGGTTCCACTACATATATATATATATATGTAAGTTTTTAATGTATATGTATTAAATATATATGTGTATATATAATATATATAAATGTGTATATATATTATATATGTGTGTATATATATATATTATATATACACACACACACACATATATATATATAAAGGGGAGTTTTTAAGTATTAACTCACATGATCACAGGTCCCACAATAGGCAGTCTGCAGGCTGAGAAGCAAGGAGAGCCAGTCTGAGTTCCAAAACTGAAGAATTTGGAGTCCAATGTTCAAGGGCAGGAAGTATCCAACATGGGAGAAAGATGTAGGCTGGGAGGCTAGGCCAGTCTCTCTTTGTACATTTTTCTGCCTGCTTTATATTCTAGGCACACTGACAGCTGATTAGACGATGCCCACCCAGGTTAAGGATGGGTCTGCTTTTCTGAGCCCACTGACTCAAATGTTCATCTCCTTTGGCAACACCCTCATAGACACACCCAGGATTGAAACTTTGTATCCTTCAATCCAATCAAGTTGACACTCAGTATTATAACCATCACAGCCCCAAAGGCCCCTGTTTGAGGGAGGTCACTCAAATTACTGGTTTCTGAGCATAGTGTTTTTCATTGAATGTTGACTAAATGGTGAATTTTTTAAAAATATATCTTTCTGAAGTAAAATTCTGTTTACTTAGAGTGTTAGAAGTAGGACTCAACTGAATTTGCTCAGAACCTTCCCAATGTTAGCACTAAAAGTCCTGTGTCTTGGAAATTTTTTAGTTCCTAAGCAAACTGGGGCAGATATTTACCCTAGGAAAATAAGAGTCAAGCACACAGAGCAGGTGTTCCTGGTTCCTACTGTTTTATAATAGAGCATTATAGAAGTGATTGACTCATAAAAACTGTTTTGTTGGCTCACCATTCTGCACTCTGGCTGTGATTAGCTGGGTGGGTCTTCTGCTGGTCTTGCTAATGGTTGCTTGTGTGGCTGCATCCAGCCAGTGAACTGATTGGGGAATGAGCTCAGCTGGGACATCTTGGCTGCTCTCTGAGTAATCTCAGGGCCTCTCCCTTTCCACATGGCCTCTCCTTGTTATTTTACTTTACTGTACTTTATTTTTGCAGGAGGGTAGCTGAATTAGCTGAATTTCCTATAAGGTGTCACAGGAATCGCCAGAGTGCAAAACCTGCCTAGTTTCTAAGTGGGGACTGGAATTAGCATGGTGTCACTTTCACCACGTCTTGTTGATTAAAGCTGGCCATTGCATCATTCTAGAATCAAGGTGAGAGGATTACCGGACCACACAAGAGTGAATACCAGGTGGCAGCTCGCTGAGGTCTACCAATGTAACAGTTTCCTCCAGAAGTACAGTAGGATGCTCACCTGGACTCAGGATTCACTGTGAGTGACTCACTTCTGACCTTTGTTTGCAGTGTGCCACCTGACTTCCTCTCCTCACACTCTCAGTGAGAATGGAATACGGATAGTTTGACCACTGGTCAGAGCCAACAAGAACTCTGGGTATAGGGCAGGTTTATCTCTATTATTCGTACTTCTCCCAAGTATAAGTAAGAATAACAGGGATGGCGAGGCCCTGTTAAGGTTGCCAAAAGGTTTCCAAGGAAGCAGCAAGTTAGGGGGCCTGTGTCTTCCATGGTTGATGAGAAGCTATAAGGGACTTGACTGTTCCATGCACCATTTCTTGAGGAGTCTATTCTAAGGTTTCTGCCCAGCACAGGAATTTTGGAGATGGCACACACCTCCTGTTTTCCAGAAGCTGGCCCTTCTCAACGCGGACCTCCCCACCCTGCTAACTCTTATTTTAAAGTGTAAACAAATGTCAGCGATGGTTCCTCTCAGCTTTCCTCTCCACCCGCCTCTCTCCAGCAGCTCTGACTCGGTTGGTTTTCCAGCCAGGCTCCCTCACTGGGCTGTGAGGCTCCTGCGGGTTGGGCGACCTCCATACCTTCTTCTGCAACATCCAGGGTGGACGGAGGAGGCTCTGTTAGCAGGAGACATTTGAGAGCAGCAAGGGACCAGCACATCACCTGCACTTCAGAGCAGCCCCAATCTAGCTGGCTTCCACATTCCCAGGGTTCTTCCCGTTTTTTCTCCCCTGTTTCTTTTTTGCTGGAAAGAATCAGGGCCTCTCACTCTCCCCCAACACAAACCGCGTTGAAAGAACCCCAAGCTGCTTCTGGGCCCAGGGGCTTCTGCTTGGCTTGGTTCGCCTTCTCCTCCCGACACTCTTCCATCATTGCGGACACAATCTGGCTTCTGGCTTTTCCCTCTCTTTTTCTTGGCTTCTTTCCCTTTCTTCCCCCGCCCCTTCTCCCGGAGTCACAGCCAGTCCCGACGCGTCCCGCCCCCGCTCTGTCGCTTTAAGCCCGTCCCGCCGCCGCGCCCCGCCCTCACCCCTCCGCGCGCTCCGCGGCTCCCCGCCGCCTCTCCCGCTCCTCCCCTGCTCGGCCCTCTCCTCCTCACGCTCCTCCGCGCCGCCGCCAGCCCCGCTGCGCGTTCTGCTCCTTGCAGCTCCCGGGACCCGCAGCCATGGCCGACATCAAGACGGGCATCTTCGCCAAGAACGTCCAGAAGCGGCTCAACCGCGCGCAGGAAAAGGTCAGCGGCGGGCGGCCGGGGCAGGGGCTTGGCCAGAGGGCACCGGCTGCGGCGGTGCGGGGCCCGAGCCTCGGGGTGCGGCGCGCTGCGGAGCGGGGCCGGGGCCAGGGACGCGGGGACGCCCTGCCTTCCGCTCGGTGACTGCAGCAAGGCGCGACCGCGGCGCCGCGGGGAGCGGGTCGGGAGGACCGAGCGCCTGGGACCCGCAGACCCCGGCCCGGGACGCGCGGGACCTATCCAGTTCGGAGCCCTCCCGGGGTGGCAGCTCTCCCGGCCCCGAGCCGGGCATCGGAAGTCGCAGGTGCGGCGGGTCGCCAGCTGCGCCCGGAGCAGAGCGCATCTCCCTGCGCCCGCATCTCCCCGGGCCCGCATCTCCCCGGGCCGGCTCCCAGCGCGCCCGCAGGCAGCTCGCGGGGACGCGGCCCGCAGGTCGGGGCGGGAGATTGCGGCAGCCGTCCTTCCTGGGGGGGATTCTGTGGCTACTTGAGTGCAGTAGACACGAACGATTTAACAGAGAAGCACCAAAAATCTCTCAGGACCAATAGGGCAGGATCGTGACCACACAGTGCTGTCTCGTGAATTCTGGAGTTCAAAACAGAGATGCCAGATACACACACTTTTATTTTTGGTCCATATGTTTGTGTCCCTTTTGACGCCAGTGTCCTTCTTTAGAAGGTCAAAAATAAACATGACCTGAACCTAATAGTTCCTCTCTGCACATTTCTGCACAAAAAAAGGACATTTTATTGCATTTTAAAAAATCCAGATTGCACAGATTGGGTTCACTGGTATTTTGCAAATTCCTCAGTAAATTGCCCACAGTAATTTATTTTTCTTCCCCAGAGATGTGCATGAATGAAACCCAGGTCCATAGCAAGCACAGCCCCAAGCAGGCGGAGGGGTGTTGTACCAGGCACCAGGCTTGCCTGGCTTCCCTGGTGACTGCTGTATCTGACGGCCTTAAGGTGTTCATTTGTGTCCTGAGCAAAGGACATTTCATTTATATTGCAGCTTGAGAATTGCCCTTGAAAATCAACACCAGCTAACGAGCCCCAGGATTGGTATCACTTGAACTGTGTTCTCTCTCATGTGGCAGTATTTTCCATCGCTAGTATATGGGGTGTTTAGTGTTTTCCTGTTTTACTGGAAGTTGGATTTGCCATGTTGCTCAGGATGGCAATGAATTTCTCTCTTGAAACCCAATCTCAGGCTGCCTCACAGTCTTGGCTGACCCCAAGGAGCTGAGCAGAGTGGGCACTGATCCCTTTTGTCCCCAAGTGCAGAGGCTTGGTGGCTGCCTCTACTCCCTCTCTCCACACATGCACACTCTCCATGCAGTAAGAGGATTGTATTTCTTTTAATATCTACCCAAGCCTATCCTGAACTAATGTGATCCTCCTCCTGCTGCTCCCTCTGCAGCTGAATTAGCAAGGCTGCCTGCTCCCTTCCAGGCCCTGGTTACTTGTGCAGAAAGTAGCCAGGGATCTGTTGGTCTTGGGATCTGGGCCAGGTTTTGTCATCCCTTTTCCACACTTCATTTTGTCCGCTTGTAGGTACTCCTCCTCTTGCCTTCCAAGTAATTATTTCACTCTTTAGTCTGAGGCTTTTCACTGAATCCACTTTCCATCTGTGAAGGAATTTAGTGATATGGTCTGCCTTTTCACATATCGAATTATTTCTTAATCTAGGTCACCAGCTGTTAATATGCTCAAAATAAATGAAAAGAAAATGTAATCTCTCTTAACAGAGCATTCAAGTCCTATGAATTGTCAAAACTCACTTTTTCACAATCAAGGTCAAGTGTACTTTGTAACTGCAGTTGTGGATGGTGGTCAGTCTTCTATGGGAGTGGGGGAAAGAGACCCTCTTGGGGACTTCAAGCATCCTATTTTCTGCCCTGGGGAAAAGTGCAGATGAAAAGTGCCTGTCGCACCTCGTGTAGGAGGTTCAGACACTAAGAGGCTGAGAGTATAGGTTCTGCTCCAGGGTGAGTTCTGCCCCCTTTTCTGAGTCTGTGTAGCATTAGGATATGCTTGGCACAAAGAGAAGGGGGCATGTGGGCATCCAGGTAAAGCAGCCCAGACCAAATAGAAGCTGCTGGAGAACGGAAAGCACAGTGTGTTACTGTCAGAGGCTCCATTAGACATTTCCCCCCGTGATTCCCTCTTTCTGTACCTTCGGCCTCTTCCTCTTGTCGAGAGCAGATTCTTCATCTCAATAACTATAGACCATCCTTGTCCTTGAGACCCTTTGCTTCTTGTTTTTACAACCAAATTTTCTTAAAAGAGAGTCCACTCCCTTGACTTTCTTATCATCTGTGCGCCACCTGAAAGCTTGCATACACTTAGGCTCCAACTGCATGTCTGAAATCACTTTTAGAGGTGACTTATGGCTTTTTATGAATTTTAAATACTTTTTTTCTTATCGAAAGGCAGTGAAGATTCATTGGAGAAAGGCTGAAATATATTAGTCCGCAGAAAAAAACCCCACAAGGCTGAAATATACATATAAGCAGAAAAAAATCTCCAGCAAATTAGGAAACACATAATTCTACCACCCAGAGATTTTACTATCATTTGATGTGTATATGAGTAGATCTTTTTCTGTGTGTGTATGTAAGTATTTATACAACTAAAACAGGCTCATACTATATGGTTGGCAACCTGTTTATTTCACATCATAATTATGATCATCCTTCTATACATGTACATATTTTCCATCAGTATTTTAAATTGCTGAACACTATTTGAATATATGGATTATACTGAATACCTTATCTTTTGAATATTCATTTTTCCAGTGTTTCTATATATAAATACAAGTAAATAAGCAAATTTGTAGGGAGATTGTTTGCACACAGCTTTATCTCCTTAGATAAGTTCCTGGAAGACTTATTGTGTCAAAGGTTTGCCAATTTTTTTATAGCTCAATTGCCTTCCAGAAAGGAGTAGCAATTTACATTCTCATCAGCAGTCCATGAGATACTTGCCAACTCTAGATAATAGAATTTAAAACAATATTTAACAATGTCATTGGATAAAATTTGTCCCTGATGAATTTCATTTGTTTGATTTTTAAAAAGCAAACTTTTTTGCATTCCTATATTTTTATTCCTGAACTGTGCATTTATATTTTTGCCCATTTTCTGTAGCATCTCCATTTTATTATTATTAAGGGCAAAAATTTTATCAATCCTAAGGGTTACAACCATTCTTTCTTCCTTTTCTGTTTACTTTTAGATTGTTTCGTGGTTTCTACTGATAAAGAAAATGTTTCTTTGATGTTTTATGTATATCTACTTATATCTATTGGTTGGTTTTGTCTGGTTTCTCTTTTGCGTGGTTGAATTAGTCAGGATCCTGCTACTTGCAAGTATCAGAAAGCTCAACCCAAACTGGCTTAAGGAAAAAGGGAATTTAATTGCTAATAATAATAATATCTAACAATTTATATATGGTTCTTGTATATATAAATTTAAATTAGCTTTTAATGAATGAAATCTATATATTCATATAAGATATATGAATATCTTATTATATTAAGCTATATACATATTCGTATACATACATATTTATAAAAGTATATGCAGATCATATCTTTCCTTCAACATTTTTGCAGAACTCTTTGGTGTAACTCTCACTGGCCCAAAATGGGCCTTGTGCCTATCTCTGGAAGAAAAAACACCTCTGTGAGCAAGGGCCAAGACCATGGCTGAACTGGTTGAATTGGGCCTGAGTCACAAGCCAGTGCTAAAGCCAGGAATGAAGACTCCCCTGAATGATATGGACTCTTAGTGGAGGAGGAAGGGAACTCAGAGTACAGAAAGGGGAGTGGACGCTGGAATGGCAAAACAAAGGATATTCACAGAGGCATCTCTAAAAGGCCTTCCCCATCCCATGTTTATATAAATAATCCCATGTTTAATATTTGTTTAACATTTTTATGTGTGCAGTTTTAAAAAATTAAGTATTAGTAAAAGGCTTATCATGAAGAACCGTATATCCTTCACCTGCTTTTTGATGGAGTTGTTTTTTTCTTGTAAATTTGTTTAAGTTCCTCGTAGATCCTGGATATTATTAGACCTTTGTGAAATGGATAGATTGCAAAATTATTCTCCCACTCTGATGATAGTTTCTTTTGCTGTGTAGAAGCTCTTTAGTTTAATTAGATCCCATTTGTCAGTTTTGGCTTTTGTTGCCATTGCTTTTGGTGTTTTAGTCATAAAGTCTTTGCCCATGCCTATGTCCTGAGTGGTATTGCCCAGGTTTTCTTCCAGGGTTTTTATGGCTTTAGGTTTTACATGTAAGTTTTTGATCCATCTTGAATTAATTCCTGTATAAGGTGTAAGGAAGGGGTCCAGTTTCTGTTTTCTGTGTATGGCTTGCCAGTTTTCCCAGCACCATTTATTTAAATAGGGAATCCTTTCCCCATTGCTTGTTTTTGTCAGGTTTGTCGAAGATCAGGTGGTTGTAGATATGTGGTGTTATTTCTGAGGTCTCTGTTCTGTTCCATTTGTCTATATATCTGTTTTGGTACCAGTACCATGCTGTTTTGGTTACTGTAGCCTTGTAGTATAGTTTGAAGTGGGGCTTAAAATCTAGATGATGGGTTGTATAGGTGCAGCAAACCACAATGGTACATGTATACCTATGTAACAAACCTGTACATTCTGCACACATATCCCAGAACTTAAATAAATAAGAAAAACAGAAGCCCCCTGTTCCCCTCCTCAACCTTCAATCTTGTCAGAGGCAATAGTGCTCACCATAAGATTTCTCAAAAATATGCTTATACAGCTATTTCTTGATCTTTAATGTTTGGTGAAGATAGGTAGATTTAGCTTTTTTACTTCTCTAGTTCTTCCACTAATTATATACTGAAACAAAAATTGTTATTGCCAAAGATTACATTTTAAAGATTGAAGTCCAATTTTTATTGAATAAAGAACACAGATCTTAAGTGTTCTACTTCATGAGTTTCTATGTATATGGATATCTGCA